TGCGTGTTTGCAGGTTGATGGGATGTTTCTAACTAATAGCTTAATTGTGCAATTATGATGATTGCCATAATGTGAGCTTTGGGAAGAGGATGCTCTGTATTCATTCCCTGCTAAAGACTGAGATGATGTCTGTACTCCAAGTGCCACAATCTAGGAGAGTTGGTTTTGCCCTCTTATTTTTCTGCATGCTTTGTTTTTATGAGCTAAAGATAAAATGAGTCTAAAGATGTCTTATTTTTGAACTCACACTGCTCAGAATGTGGCTGGTCAGGCAGTGGGTTCATCAGTCTGCTTCCTTGCAGTGTGATATTTGCTGTCAGTGGCAGTGAGCATCAGCACACAGGGAACATCAAGGTTTGAGATTGACCTGTCTCCCAAGTTATACAATATGCTGGATTAGGATGGTGGTGTCTCTGAACTGCTACACTGATGACTGGGTTTTAATCAGATGTGCATATTGCTTAATCAGTTCAGGACATTTTAAATTTCTTTGAACCATAATGATGAGCAAAGATATAACTTTGCATGCATGTTGTGATCCTTGTTCTCAGTAAAGAGAAGTTGTGTGTGCCACTTTTCTCTCATGGTATCTCATGAAGACGGAGCAACTAAAAACATGTGCTCTGGTGTGGTTAGAAAGAACTGAAATATGTAAAGCTGATGTACAAGTTCAGTTTGTTATAGTTGGTAAATGAGGTCCACAGTAATGGTGATGTGCATTTTCCCTATTTTATTGTCCGAGGAAATTACACTGGGAGAAAGTGGTGGTGGTGTTTTGCGTGAGATCCAGAGAGAATGTTCTCTTGACTTTTTACCAGCTAGATAGCCTGCTTGAGTACCTGCTACTGAAATGTTGAGTTATTGAAGCTTGCTGAGGGAGGCACTTCCCCAGCGCTGAATGTCCATGGCCTGATCATGGTGCATGTTCCAGGTGTCTTTTTCTGTGCACCTGGGAGTTTTATTACATGTTCTTGCAACTTCTGAGAGTCAGAGGACCCTATGCAGGTTAAGAAGGGCTGGAGATAAGAGTCCTGGGAGCTCTGTGTGCAGGTCTCTTGAAAGGCACAAGGAATATGGTTTGCCCTCTTCCCTGACCAGAGCCCAGCTGCAGGATCATGAAATGTGAGTTTCATCATCCCAAAATGTTTAGCTGGATGACATCTTATTCCACCTGGGAGGTTTTCCCTATGAGTTTGCATCTTTTCATCAGTCTTAACTAACAGCTTAAGTATGTAACAAATCCCATAACGGAAGATGTGGGGAAGATCAAACACTTCACTTAACACTTAAGAAATACTGGAATTATGTAGCTACTCTTGATCTAGAACTGTATGGGATGACCCCTTCCATTATGTTTGTGTTAATTTGTTGTCTTGCTTGATCTAATGAGCTAAAGCTGGGCCTTTGTCTCTGAGAGTGTGTGGAAGATTACATCTGTTAGAGTTGTCTGTCTGAACTGTTTGTGCCTTTCCTGTTTTCCGACCGAAAGAAAAACACTTTCATAGATGTCTTTCTGCAAACCATCACTCTGAGAAATGCTCTTTCTTGTCAAATCTTCATGGTGAGAAGTCAGTGGAAAATCAGTGAGATTGGCCTCAGAGCAGGAAAGGAGGGGCTGCATGTTCCACTTGGCTGGGTGTGCTTTCACAGCAATCCTAGTGCCAAGGCCTGTGTGACTTAGAGAATTCCCCCTTTTCCTGTATCCCAGAAAGACACAGACTTACATGAATTTGTCTGCAGACATACCCATGGATATGCAAACATGCTTCAGAGATTCTGTGTTTAAGAACTGTCACTTTTCCAGGTGTATGTCCTTGTAAGACTGTGAGGTAAAGTCTTGACTTAGGTGTACTGAGCTTTCCCCAGCTTTGACCAACCTTCAGAGGTTGGTAATGGATCTTGCTCATATGAAGTAACTAATGACATTTTGTTAGGATTTCAACTGTTTGTGTGTGGAGAATGTAGGGCATGGGGTGATAGATTTGTAAGAAAATTCTGGTTTGGGGGCTTGAAAATTTCTGGTTCCCAGAAATGAAAGTGCGCAGAGAAGTTCCTATGTGTGGGTCTGTGCTGTGGTCCTTATTCTCCATGAGGAGAAGTTGTGTGGGAAACGGTAACAAACACGTCTTCTGATGGTGTGTGCTTGCAAAGTGATCTCTGTTGGGTGATGTTTGAGCACACGGAAGCTTTCTGTCTGCACAGAGACAGGGCAGGTAAAAGAGTTTGCAGTGGTATAGTTTGAACAGTCTAGGAGGTTGGTACAAACATTCAATTTCCCCTCTTTTTATTCCCACAGTTACGGTGCTGTGCACTTTTCTTGTTTTCCAAATAAATTACTTAGAGAACCGTGCCTCTGGTCTTTGATGTAAAGTCCCTCCTGTGTACTTTTTGCAAGGTAGGTGATGCTTCTTGTGTACCTGCTGCACTTGACATAGTGTGAATTCCATGTCTTTCCTATTCCTTCCTCATTTCTAATGCTCTACAAGTTGGTCTTGGCTTGGCTGACAGTCCCTGGAAGTAGAGACCTGTTCAGATTATCAGGTGGTGGGAGTTGTTCTCATTGATGTTCACCCATGAAGGTGTTCAGCTGCCAGCAGAAAGACTTTGATACACTTATATTTTCCTAGAATGTTACAGAATTATGCATTATTTTGATTTTGGCTGACAGGCAGCCAAATGTTGTGTACTGCTGTAGTGCAACTAAAGTTGTGAATGCAGAGCAAGGAAGGTGAGGGACTAGCTTGGAATGAGGAACCTGAACGAACCAATGTGTTTCTGGGTGAGCAGTGGTTTGGTTTCAGGCCTGGTGCCAAGGCCTGTGCCATTTATTTTATGATCCCAATTTCCCTGTTTTGAAGGGCAATGACAATGAGGTGTTAGAACATGTACAGCTAGAATATTGATGTCTGAGTAGAATGGCTTGTGATTCTTGTGAGAATCCTCCTCTATCCATTCCATGTCCTTGGAACATTATGGTACATGTAATTACACCTCACAGGTGTAATTACACTTGTTTTTAGGCCTTTGTTTCCTGTTGAAACTGGTTCAGTTTCCCTTTTTCTGGAGAAAAGGCATTTTGCATTGGAAGATGCAAGGCTTGTTTTGCAGCAAAACCTCACTTTAATAATCTAAACCAGGATTTTTGGTGTGGAGAAAATGAAGAAAAATCTAAAAGGGGTCTCTCTTATTTTTTATAGTATAGGAATGAGGCCCAATATAAAGTGCTTACATTTAGAGAATTTTATTTGTAGGGAAGTAAACAGGCCATGTTATGAAAAAAACCATCTGAGATCTGATAAGGACTTCCTAAAACGAAATTAGATGTGTGCCATCTGAATTGTTTTGCTTCTGCTCAAGAAATATCTCTTGCCTTGCTTTGTGGTTTAAGCATGACTTCAGGGTATCTGATCTCACATGAAAGGTCCCATCTGTTCCTATTGTCCAAGTGCAGGTAGAGTTCAAAGCATTGTAGACAATATCTCAATGCCCAGCTGGAAACTACCAATGTGTGGGGTCTTCAAGGGCCTGTACTTGGACCAATGTATTGAGTATCTTTGTCAGTGACACATCTGGTTGGATTGAGAGTGCTCTCTACAGGTTTGCAGCTGGCACCAAGCTAAGTGGTGCCACCAATTCAGCAGAAGGATGGGATGTCATCTCCAGGGACCTGGACAGTCTGGAGGAGTGGACTCATGTCAGCCTCATTAAGTTCAACAAGGTCAAGTGCAAAATCATGCACCTGGGTCAGGGCAAACCCCTCTCAGTACAAACTTGGGGGATTGAGAGCTGCCCTGTGGAGGAGGACTTGGGGTCCTGGTGGGTGACAAATGAGCTGGCAGGGAGGTTTTTCAGGCCAGGGAGTCAATCACATTCTGGGCTGGATAACAAATAGCGGGGCCAGGAGCACAAGGGAGGAGCAACTGACAGAATGGGAGGAGAGAATCTTAAGCTGCACCAAGGGAAATATAGGCTGGATGTGAGGAAAAAGGTTCTTATGGAAAGAACGATCAAGTACTGGAGTTGTCTGCCTCTGGAGGTGGTGGAGTCGCCATCCCTGGATGTGTTTACAAAGAGACTGGATGTGGCACTGGGTGTGTGGTTTAGTTAAGGTGTTAGGGCATGGGTTGGACTCAATGATGTTGAAGGTCTCTCCAATCTTGCGATCCTGTGATTTTCTGTCTTCACCATACTTTTGTGAGACCTGTCAGAGTATGTTCAGAGAAAGACACCAGAAATTCTCAAAGGGATGAGCATGTAAATGGGCAGAGAGGAGCCCTTCAGCCAGAGGTGAAAATGTGCTGTGAAGAACTGACTGTGATGTTTACTACATAAAATATGAAAAAGAAATATAGAGAGAGTTTTCTGATAGGGGTCATCTTGAAGGAAAAGGTGAACGGTTTGAAACTGAGAGGAGGTAGGTTTAGCCTGGTAACATGATTTCATAGGGGATGGTGAGACACAGGGACACGTTGCCCAGAGAAGATATTGAGGTACCATGTTTGAAAGGGTTCATGGCTTTGAGAAATCTGACTAGTGAGGTGTGGATTAGATGACCATAAAGACTCCTTCACACCCAAACCATTACAAGATAGAAATGACATTTCCTTCCCTGTGCTTCTGAATATCATTGACTACTCCACACTACTCCAACAATTACCTCCTAGGTAGTTTTTCTTATTAATATAACAATCAGAAATATCCTAGAATGCTAAAGAGCTTTTAATGTCTTCCCCAGCTATACTGTCGCTTTTTTTTCCCTAAGGTTGTACCTTTATTTTAATAAGAGTAGGTGACTTTATTACTCTGCCATCAATATTTGCTTCTGTTTGTTCACTGCGACAAAGGGAGATGCTTTAAAAGCACTGAAAACGCCTTCTCAGATTGAATGTTCTTTGGAGTCGCATAAGGACAGAGCTGGTGGCGGTGCGGGCAGGCGGGAGAGCCCCGGGGCCGGTGCCGCCGCTGAGCCCCGCCCAAAGCCGGGCCCCCCTGAGCGCGGCGCTCCGGCGGCTGCAGTGGCGCGGCGGCGCCTCCGGGTGTCGCTGTTGGCCGCCGCCGAGCGGCGCTGGAGCCGCCGCCGCCGCCGCCGCAGCGTCCTGCCCCCGCAGGCTGCTCGCTCGCCCGGCGCCGGCCACAGCGGCAGCGGCACCGCCGCCAGCAGCAGCGGCGAGAGGCGGCGAGAGGCGGCGAGAGGCGGCGAGAGGCGGCGAGAGGCGGCGCGGCGAGCTCGCAGCCTTTGAGCGGTGTGTGTTGTGGGCGGCGAGAGCGGCTGGAAGGGAGGCAGGGCAGCGGCAGGAGGCAGGAGCGCGGCGAGCGCTGCGGGCAGAGAATGGCGGTGAGGCGGCGGCAGAGGCTTGGGCCGGGCGGCGGGCGAGCGCTGCTGGCCGCGGTGCTGCTGTGCGTGTGGGGCCGGGCGGCGGCCGAGCGGGTCCGCTACGCCATCCCCGAGGAGCTGGGCAGAGGCTCGCTCGTGGGGCCGCTGGCGCGGGACCTGGGGCTCAGCGCGGACGAGCTGCCGGCGCGCAAGCTGCGGCTGAGCGACGAGAAGCAATACTTCACGGTGAATGAGGAGAACGGGAACCTGTACGTGAATGAGAGGCTGGACCGGGAGGAGATGTGCGGCGAGTCAGCGACCTGCTCCGTCAGCTTCGAGGCGCTGGTGCACAACCCGCTGAACATTTTCCACGTCGAGGTGGCGATCGAGGACGTGAATGACAACTCCCCGACCTTCAGGAAGGCTGCTCTGGACCTCGAGATCGGTGAATTAATCCCTCCTGGTGCGCGTTTTCCCCTAGAGATGGCCCGGGATGCAGACGCAGGAAGCAACTCGCTGCTGACTTATCAGCTCACCAGCAATCCGTCTTTCTCTCTGGTCATGAGGGAGAGCCCTGACGGAAGCAAGCAGCCGGAATTAGTGCTGGAGAAAGCTTTGGACCGAGAGAAGCAGAGCTCCTTTGAATTGGTGCTGACGGCAGTGGATGGTGGGGATCCCGCGAGGTCTGGGACTGTCCAGGTTCGCATAAACGTTACTGATGCAAACGACAATGCGCCCGTGTTCAGTAAAAGCCTCTACGAGGCGAGAGTAGCGGAGAATCTTTCAGTGGGGTCTCTGGTGTTACGAGCATGGGCGACGGATGCAGACACGGGCTCCAACGGGCGGGTCTCCTACTCATTCGGCAACGTCCCGGACAGCATCCATGCTTTGTTCACTATCGACAGCGATAGCGGGGAGGTCAGGACGCTGGGTCCCCTCGATTACGAGGAGAAGAATAAATACATCTTCGGCCTGGAGGCGACGGACGGAGGCGGGCTAACAGCTCACTGCAAGGCTCAAATAGATATCACGGACGAGAATGACAATGCGCCCGAAATCACCATTCTGTCACTGTCAAGCCCCGTGCCAGAGGACGCACCGGTGGGCACCGTGGTGGCCGTGCTGAAAGTTCGGGACCGGGACTCGGGCGAGAACGGTCAGGTGTGGTGCGAGCTGTCGGGAGAGGCGCCGCTGTCGATCGTGGCGTCGTCGGGCGGCTCGTACAAGGTGGTGACGACGGGCGCGCTGGACCGGGAGCAGGCGTCGGAGCATGGCGTGACGGTGGTGGCCCGGGACCGGGGCAGGCCGGCGCTGTGGAGCAGCAGGGAGCTGGTGCTGGAGGTGTCGGACGTGAACGACAACGCGCCGCTGTTCGAGGAGGCGGCGTACAGCGCGTACGTGGCGGAGAACAACGCGGCGGGCGCGCTGGTGCTGCGCGTGCAGGCGCGGGACGCGGACGCGGGCGCCAACGGGCGCGTGAGCTACTGGCTGGCGGGCGGCAGCGCGGGCGCGGCGGGCGCGGCGCCGCTCGTGTCGGTGGAGGCGCGGAGCGGCGCGCTGTACGCGCAGCGCTCCCTGGACTACGAGCAGTGCCGCGAGTTCACGGTGGCCGTGCGGGCGCAGGACGGCGGCTCGCCGGCGCGCAGCTCCACGGCCACGGTGCGCGTCTTCGTGCTGGACCGCAACGACAACGCGCCCAGGGTGCTGTGGCCGGCGGCGGCGGCGGCGGCGGGAGAGGCGGCGGGAGGGGCGGCGACGCCTTTCGAGGTGGTGCCGCGTTCGGCCGAGGCCGGCTACCTGGTGGCCAAGGTGGTGGCGGTGGACGCGGACGCGGGGCGCAACGCGTGGCTGTCGTACGAGCTGGTGCAGGCGTCGGAGCCGGCGCTGTTCCGCGTGGGGCTGCACAGCGGCGAGGTGCGCACGGCGCGCGCCGTGTCCGAGCGGGACGCGGCCAAGCAGCGTGTGGTGGCCGTGGTGAAGGACCACGGGCAGCCGGCGCTGTCGGCCACGGCCACGCTGCACGTGGTGCTGGCCGAGAGCTTGCAGGAGGCGCTGCCGGAGCTGAGCGAGCGGCCGGCGGGCGCCGAGGAGGAGGCGGCGGCGGCGGCCGAGCTGCAGTTCTACCTGGTGCTGGCGCTGGCGCTGCTGTCGGCGCTCTTGGTGCTGAGCGTGGCGCTGGCCGTGCTGGCGCGGCTGCGCCGGGCCGGGCCGCCCGCCGTGCTGCGCTGCCTGGGCGCGCAGCGCTTCTCGCTGGCCGGCGCCGCCTTCCCGGCCGACTTCTGCGAGGGCACCTTGCCCTACTCCTACAACCTGTGCGTGGCGGCGCCGGCCCGCGCCGTGCCCGAGGCCGCTTGGCCGCCGCCGCCGGTGCCGGTGCCCGTCCTGTCGGCGGAGGAGCTGCTGGGCGGCGATTCCTGCGAGAAGCCGAGCCTGAGTAGTAACGCCCTGACGGGAGAGCCGCCCGCCGAGCCGGATGCTGCTCAGGTCTGTAAAGCGAATTCCTTCCTTCTGCGCCTTTAAATTACGGCGTGCTGGTGGCACGGAGCTCTTTTGTTTTTTTTTTTTCTTCCCCTAGTCTGTTAGTATTTCCGTGACCCCGTGAAATCCTTTTCGGGTTTTCTTTTTGCATCAAGTGTTGCATCATGTGTTGCGATCCGGCAATTGCTGCTTTATCTGCTGTTAGAATGGCAAGCTCAGTTGGAGTCAGCAGCTTTGAAGTTCATTTTAATTCGTGACTCATTGTGATTTAGATTTTCTTGAGGAAAATTTTGTTTTCTTAATTTTGGCGTGTTATTAACGAAGAAGGAGGATTTTTATTGTGTAGAATGAGATGTACATTACGGGCTTCGTGTCGAGAGTTTTCCTTCCCAATAGCTTTTTTGTCGAAACTTGTGTGTTTGGATCTTCTCATGGGTGGACCAAACCGCTTCTTTTGAGGGAAGGCTGTTGTAGGAATGCTTACACTACTAGTCAGGTTAATTTAGGATTTAAAAAAGTTCTCTGTGAGTGGAGCCACCTCTGTATTCATTACCTGCTAAGTACCCGAACTCTGTGCCTGACCTTAGTGCCATCATCATCTAGATGATGGCAATACATGACTTAATGCCCAAGTACTAAGTCATCAGAGTGAGCATTGTCATGCCTATACTGAGTAAAATCGTAATGACAAACTGCGAAATCACGAATGGAGAACGGAGAGTAATGTAGATTTATTCAGAGTAGTGTGTGATGTGCAGGCGCAAAATAGCAACGACCCTCCCTGCAGTGTGGGATTCGGTGACCATAGTGAACATTTAGATTTTTATGAGTGGTTTTCATATTCTATAACACTATTTTCATCCGGTGAAAGGCTGTTCTTCAAGTACTGCTCATAAAAACACCTGTTATTGGTGTAGGAGTTTGCGCTTTCAGGCGTATGCAGTAAAAGTCGTGATACCCCAGGCTGATCAGATATCTCTGATACACTCAGAGATAGTTTAATCCATGTTACACGATCCTGATAAAGACATTTTCCCGGGCGGTAGAAACAGCATAATCCCAGGAGGCGTGTTAGTTGTGTCACGTCTTCATCGGTGGAGGATGAGACCAGAGATCAGCTGGACAAAAGCGAAGCAGGAGGTCCGCGCTGTAGGGAAAGCGACGTCTTCTTCTCGGTTGTGTCCCGCCCCTCGAGCTGTCCGTGGGAGAGGCAGAAGCGCAGCGCCGGGCAGCGCTCGGTGCCTGCAGTGCCGGGCGGAGGCTGCGGGCGCCGCTGTTGACCGAGAGGAGCGAGAGGAAGCTCGGAGCGCTGCAGCCCCGCCCGCTGCGGACCCGCTCGATCGCTCGCTCGCTCGGGGTCTGGCTCGGCGGCCGAGAGGTCTGCGAGCGTGTCCGCGGTGCGGAGCCGTTCTGTAGCAAGACGGAGGAGGCCGTGGCTGAAATACCGTGCAGAAGCTGAGAGCAGAGTCGGAGCCGGAGCTGTCTGAGTTGGCGGCGAGGAGCTGCAAGCGGTGGAGCGGTGCCGCTGCGGAGATGTGCACGGCGGGGAGGCGCTGGGGCCGGCGGCAGCGAGCTCTGCTCGGGGCCGTCCTGCTGGCGGCGTGGCAGGCGGCGTGGGGGCAGCTGCGCTACTCGGTGCCCGAGGAGATGCCCAAGGGCTCGTTCGTGGGCGACGTGGCCAAGGACCTGGGGCTGCAGTTGCCGGAGATCAGCGATGGCGGCGTCCGGGTTGTTACCGAAGGTAGGACGCAGTATTTCGCTCTGCACGGGAAGACGGGACATTTAGTGACGGCGGAGAGGATCGACAGAGAGCAGCTGTGCCGGCTGGTAGAGAAATGCGTGCTGCGCTGTGAACTGATAGTGGAGGGGGAAATGAAATTCTATGAAATCGAAGTGGAAATCAGAGACATAAATGACAACCCTCCGAACTTCAAGGAAATGGAGCTGGAAGAGAGAATGAGCGAGATGACAGCCCTGGGGTCGCGCTTTCCCCTGCCAGACGCCCATGATCCTGACTCGGGCCGTAATTCCCTGCAGAGCTACGAGCTGAGCGGCGACGAGCACTTCTCGCTGGCCGTGCAGGCGGGCCCCGGCGGCGATCTGCGTCCCGAGCTGGTGCTGGCCAAGGTGCTGGACCGGGAGGAGGCGGCGTTTCACGAGCTGGTGCTGAGGGCGATGGACGGCGGCGATCCGGCACGGACGGGCACGGCTCGGATCCGCGTGACGGTGCTGGACGCGAACGACAACGCGCCCGTGTTCAGCCAGGCGGAGTACACGGTGCGAGTGCCCGAGGACGTGCCCGTGGGCTCTACACTTGTTGCTGTAACCGCCACGGACGCTGATGAGGGGCTGTATGGACAGGTGAAATACTCTTTGAAAAAAGTGTCCGACATGGCATCGAATATCTTCCATCTGGAATCTGAGAGTGGAGAGATCACTCTGCTGCGGAGCCTGGACTTTGAGGAAGGCGACTACTATGAACTGCAGGTGCAGGCACAGGATGGGGCTGGCCTGTCCGACACGGCCAAGGTCACAATCACTGTGACAGATACAAACGATAATGCGCCGGAAATTTTGGTGAGGTCCGCACTAAGTGAGATTTCTGAGGATGCCCCTTCAGGGACAGTGGTAGCCCTTTTGCACGTACATGATCAAGATTCAGGGACAAATGGCCAGGTGCGCTGCTCACTCGAAGG